AACTCCAATAATTCATCGTACGCAGGGTTCGGACCAGATATAGCCTCGAACCTTACTTACATAATATAATTGGTTTCACGTTGATCAGGTAAACGAGCGTCGTGATTTGGCCGCTGGAGTGAGGCGTGCTACTGCTGAATTTTCTGTAATTTTCTTCACGGATCAGCAACTTCTATCTAGTTTTATCCCTGCTCGAGCATCGTTATGGGGTGTACCACATATCGAAATGCTCGTCTTAATAAGACGAACATGCTCACAAATTTTGAGCGGGATCCTACTTGGAACAAGTGAGATATAAGCCCCAAAAGTCACTGCTCGTGACTGTGAAAACAACCACCTTTAATGGTGTTTTGGTTCATGATGGCCATACGAGAATAGTGTGCAGCCTACCCCTTTTTGGTATTTTACCCATAACTTTGTCTTGGAATGTCTGATTAAACTGAAACTTGATCTGTAGGGGTTTTCGACCGTGGTAGATCTAATGGCGTTGGTCCTACATCTGTTTGACGCACCACAAATATATTTCTAGTTATAGGGTCCATTTTAGGGTGCCAAAGGCCGATTTTGTCGAAATTATTTTTTGTGTTCACTACCTTAGATATGTTTGATTGCGATGAAACTTGACAAGTGGTCTTTTGAAGTGCTTATGAAGATCTTAACCAGTTTTAGGGCCATTCTGAGACTGTCGAAATTTCCACTGTATGTTGAGGCTTTGTTGACTTGCTTCCTCTTTATTCCGCATCAAGTACCAATGCGCTGAAAAATGTGTTCAAATAGAGTGCATCATCAAACTTGGCATATCATATATGGGTAAATTAGAAAGAGATGAATTGATCAGAGTTATTCGTCCACCAAAGGACAAATTTTTTGCATTCCATAAATCGAATGTAACATTAGCTCTTTTCACCACAGGATCCCATACCTCCTTTGGTAGCCTAGAGTTCGAAATAGGCATACCCAAATATATTAGCGGAAATGATTCAAGTTTGCAATTCATTACTTGGGCAAAGTGGTGAACCTCAGCTGCCGCACACCCAACCCCAATAATTGATGTTTTACTAAAATTAACTTTAAAACCTAAAGCCACCTCAAAACATCTAAAGAATCTTCTTATATGTAAAATATGATTCAATTGTGCCCCACAAAATATTATTGTATCATTTGCATACTGGAAATGAGATACAAAAGGAGAATCTTGAAAACCATGGAACCAAAGTCTATGTTCCACATTATTAATCATAAGGCTGAAGGCTTCACCCACCAAAGTAAAATAGGAAAGGAGACAAAGGGTCACCTTGTCTTAACCCCTTGCTGCTTTAAAAAAACATTTTAGACTCCCATTTACCAAAACTGAGAAATGGGCCGAAGAAAGACACCCATTAATCCATGTCCTCCATACCTCTCCAAAACCCATGCACCTTAAAATCTCATCTAGCACTTTCCATTCCACCCTATCATATCTAGTTTTAACAAAATTCCCAACTCCCTACTCTGAACTCTCGAGTGAATACATTCTTGGGCAATGAGAACCCCATCTATAATCATCCTGCCACTAATAAATGAGGATTATATTCCAACGACTATAAGAGGCAAGACCATTTTCAATCTCTCACCTAGAATCTTAGAGATAATTTTATATAAACTATTGAGCAAACTGGTAAGACTACTGTCACCAATACTTGAAATTGAAATTTTCTTAGGGATTAAAGCAATAAAAGTATAATTAATACCCATGCTCAAAATACCCCTATCAAAAACTCATTAACCATTAATAGCAATTCATCTTTAAGAAGAGTCCAAAATTTGTGAAAGAAGACTAATGGAAAACCATATGGTCCAGGAGCCTTGTTTCCTGGTAGAGCAAACACTGCTATTTTCAACTCTTTTATCTCCACCTTCCTTTCTAAAAACAATCTCTCAGCCTGTGGTAGTAATTTAGAAAGGACTCCATCCAAATTAACCTGGAAAGGAACTTCTGAAGAAATTTTTTTTCGAAAGGTTTTACAAATTCCAACTCCTAGGCCTCTACATATTCTTCATTAAACCCTGGAAATATAATACTAGAAACATCATTCTACTTCCTTCTAACATTAGCAATAGAATGAAAAAACTTCCTATTAAGATCTCATTCCTTTAGCCATTTCACATGAGGTCGTTGTTTCCCATACACCTCCTCAGATTTTAATAAACTGTGAAACAAAATTACTAAAACCCTTCTCTCACCCATCGAACCTCTGATACATGTCCATTCAAATCTATTTCTTCATCTATAGATTTGATCAGACTCAAAAGTATCAACGATATAAAACTTAATATTGGAATTATGATATTTTCTCCACTGTAACAAACTACTCTTTAAAATCATCAATTTTTTGAAAACTCATAACTATGCCACCCCAAGACCTCTATATGACTCCACACATTCTTAATCAGCTCCACCACTTCTAGTTCCTCCAACCAAAAAGCCTCCATCCTGAATCGCCGATAACTCGAAGAAATAGAGTCAGATTGTAATAACAATGCAGTATGATTAGAAGTGAACTTTCCAAGGGCATTGACTTTAACCAAAGGAAATTGTGATTCCCTATTACCAGATATCAAGAACCAATCTAATTTACTGAGAAACAAATTCTGCACACTATTATTAGACCAAGTAAAGGTTGTACCATTCAAAGGCAACTCAATCAACTCATGGAAGTTAATGAAATCATTAAACATCCGCATATTTGAATTAATAGAAATATTCTAAGAGATTTCATCCGGCCATCTAATAAAGTTAAAAATCCCCTCCCAAGCAAACATGTAGATTAACCGTAGAAATAACAACAGTTAGATCATGAAAAAAGAGGCCTTCAAATTTTGAGTATTCGGACCATAAACATTAACCACAAGCCACCTAAAAGAAGAAAAAGATCCTTCTACCACAATAGCTGCCAAATTGTCCATCAGTATAACATCTATACAAGCAAAAACCGAAGAATCCCAAATTAACCACAAACCACCCGAAGCCCCAACTACATCTACCTCTACACAACTTGCCCTCGACTCCAAAATTCAAAAACATACATTAATGAAGGACTGGGAAGTTTGGTTTCTTGGAGCATCAAAATTTCTGGTTTATGCTTACGGATCAATAAAGCTAGCTCCTGCTTTCGCCGCATATTCCCCAATCCCCTGGTGTTCCAACTAAGTACTTTCATTAGGAAACGATGCTTCACCAACACTGACAGAGGAGGTTGAGATGCAAAGTTCGAACTTGTATTATAATTGTATGCTGAGAAAACCTCCTTTGGTTCACCAAAACAAATACCTTGACCAGATATCAGCATTGATTGTTTATTTGCCAAAATCTAAGAGAATGCAGCAGTGATTTCCCTTTTCCTTTAGGGGTTACATTGCTTGCACCTCCATAGGGACAACTATCTTCTCTTACACAACATTCTCACTTCCTGAAGCCACAAAACTTGACACATTTGCAATTTGATCTTCAACATCCTCTCCCCTGACACCTTCCTTTAAGATGTCCTTCTCCATGGCAGCCTTCGCTCGATCTCTAAATAACTCTACCACCACAGTATCTGAAACATTAAAAAATGCCCCCATCACCGACATCGCGTCTAAGATTTGGGCATTTGAATTATCCAAAGTAGTGTCCCTCACCCCAACACAATCATAGTTCTCCATCACATTAACGTCAATCAATTTCTCTCCCACTCCAAAATGAACAAAATTCTTCGTCTCCGCTACAACAAAATGATCGAAGTTCTCTATATTACCAATGTTCGCCACCACACCCCCATCAACCAAGTTCACGAAGGCCCTCGCTCCCATAACATTTTCAGCCATCAAATCAATATCGTCTTCATAATGAGTCGCAGCCAGAAGGGGTAAATCTAAAAATGGAGCATCAACACCACCCACTAACATCTCGTTATTCACAGCCATCGCCACCTCCCCTCAATAAAGACATAACTTTGGCCAGGAAGAATCACTTCTAGAGGATGAGCGAAATCAACTACTTCTTCCGGCCAACTGTTTGAAATATCATTAAAACAAACAATGACCGAGTCTACGTTTAGATGATTCACCTTAATGTCATCTTTGGTCACCACTAACGGCAGTCCCTACTCTTCACTAGGCACCTTAAGATCTACTGAATTCTGACTTCCATGTGCTATCTTTCCAAAGAACTGATACTTCTCCGGCCCAAAACTGATTAAGAAACTGTCAAAGACAATTTTTATCAATAGAAAGTAATAGCCTTACAATTGCACGAAGCTCTAGATCAGCCACCATTAGAGCCATAATAGGTGAATCATGACTACCACTACTCCTCAAAGAAGACATAACTCCACTATAAAAATTAGGATCTTTTAGTAACTTTTTTGTCTAGGGGCATTTTAGATTATTAATCAGGGCAAAGTAAAAATTCTTGATAGAAAGAGAAGTATTTATTAAATATAGTGTAGGGTGGCATCATCCACATGAGGTGTAACATCATTGAGATGGAGCAATGATTGTTTCTTAATCACTAGTAAAATGTCATTAGTTTCTTAGATAAATATATATCCTACACCTCTTAACGATAGAAAATGATGCTACTAAAAAAATCTTACATTACAAAATAAGGGGCAATGAGTATCTAAAAATGTTGAGTACATTAAAGAAATACTCGTATGTATGATTACCCTGATATAATCCATTGATATAAATAAATAAAAGCAACAAATGGCCCTAAGACTTTCATAGATATTTTGTTCAATTTATTTTTTGTAAATTATTTTTTTAATATTCTTATTATGTGCGACTTGATAAGAAAAGTGGACGACCCAAATTTCATGTGAATTGAATTTTTTTTAAAAGATTAAAATTAAAATACGATATGCAAGAATGACTATCATATCAATCCAAATTCAATCAGCCTACGGAAGGACATGATCTTTTTCCTATATATATATATAATATGCATGTATGTATACATATATTGGGGCTGACTTGAGCTCGGACCCAACCTGATTCCGACTTGAATCTAGAGTTTTAGACCTGGAACCAACCTATCTTGTCCAAATCTTGAATCCAGACCTAGATAGCCCTTGCCACCCCGATCGCAATTTAATTACTTGCCACCGCAAAGGGAACAAACTATCCATCCTTCTCATCAGCTGCCTGGCTTATCCGTTGCTGATACACTCACCGTTTTCTCCTGGAAAACTGTTGTTACAGAGAGCCATCATCTGCTGCACTTCTCTCTCTATAGTATTCTCTCTAAGTACAGCAAAATCCTTAGCAAACCAATGCTGTAAAGAAACCCCTAACTCACAGATGGCTCTCTCTCCTCTGAGATTCACAGACATTCCCTTCCCTTTCTCCCTCTACACCCGCACTCCCCCAATAAGAAGAACCCTTTCTACCTTCTCCATCTTCAGTGCTTCATCAACCACCCGAAACCCTAAAAATCCTCCAATTCAGAGCAGAACCAGTTCCAATCCTAATCCTAAGCCTTTTCCGAAGAACCCACCTTCTTCATGGCTCAACAAATGGACCCAAAGCGATCCAAGCTCTAACCCTAATTCTCGAACAAGTAGCGAAGAAGACAGGGTTCAGTACTTTGACGGAGATAAAGGACGGAGTGCTATCCATCGAATAGTGGATCGCCTTAGAAATCTAGGCTTAAGCGACGGAGATGGAGATGATGACTCAAAGGATTTGCCTTGGGGCTCCAGAGAAAAAGGGAATTTGGATGATAAGGATTTAGGGTTTCTTCTTCAGAAGACATGGGAAAGGCCTGACCAAGTTGTTAATGGGGATAGAATTTCAGATGCTCTTTTGCCATGGGAGAGGAGTGAGGAGGGAGAATATGAGACCAAGAAAGAGAAGAGTAGGCGAATAAAGGCACCCACTTTAGCTGAATTGACTATTGAGGATTCAGAGCTTAGGAGGTTGAGGAAGCTTGGTATTACTCTTAGAGAGAGAATCAATGTTCCAAAAGCTGGAGTTACACAGGCTGTTTTGGAGAAGATACACATGGCTTGGAGGAAGTCTGAGCTTGTGAGGCTGAAGTTTCATGAGACACTTGTTCATGATATGAAGACAGCTCATGAGATTGTGGAGGTTTGTGAATTTGATATCAAAATTTTTAATTAGTTTCTGAAAGTCTTGACGTGGGTTATTGAATGGAATGCTAGTTCATTTGATCTGTGTTTAACCTCAAATTTTATATTGGCTCCTAAATGCAATCCTGTTTCTTTGCATTTGGTTTGATAATTTCTCTAATATTTGTGAATGATGCTGACAATGTTCTTAGTGGGTTCTTAAATTTATTCTCATGTATCTGAATTGGTTTATATAACTCTCACTAGCTTGTAAAGGTTTGTGAATATAATCATGAAATTTTTAATGCTGTTCTTAAATTTAACGTTCAGTTTTTGTATTAGGGTTGAGAAATCCTACATGTTTACGAGTCTAATCTCAAAATTTTCTCACTTGTTTATATATTGAATTTTAAGTCTTTTTTATCAGGTTCTATTATTTGGTTAGTTGGTAATTGGGGATTCATGTTTTTTTTTTTTTCACTCCTATTAAATGATGCTGAAGGGAAGTTCTATAGGACAACGTTGACACCAGCTTTGCTTTATGGGATGGAATGTTGGGCGGTGAAGAAACAACATACCCATAGGATGAGTGTAGCTGAGATGAGAATGTTACAATGGATAAGTGGCAAGACACGAAAGGATAGAATTCAAAATGAATACATTCGAGGGAAACTTAGGGATGGTTCCAAAAGGTGACAAATAAGGGAAAGTAGACTTAGGTGGACTGACGATGTTCAATGCAGACCCAATACAACACCTGTTAGGAGGTGTGATTTGGTTCAAGTGGAAGGCTTTAGAAAGGCAAGGCAAAGGCTCAAAAAGACATGGATAAAAGTAATGAGAAAAGACATGGGGATTTATGGTCTTAATGAGGGTATGACCCTTGATAGAGACAATGGAGGATTCGTGTAGATGACCCCCAATAGTTGGGATAAAGTTATGATGATGATGATGATTGTTTTTTTGCACTCCAGTACCATTTATATAAGGGTGTGGTTTGCATAAGGTTGCAACCTTAAACAATCCAATTAAGGCGCACCTCCAAATTTTATCATATGATGTAATTTTGGGTTTAAAAATTTCATAGAATTGCCTAAAAATCGATTTCCAACTCTATTTATAAAATTTTAAACTCCAAAAATAGTTCAAATCAAGTATATCTATAAACATATGAAAATCTTGAAAATGGACGGTTTAGATAATGTGTTGTAAGTGCACTAGTTTTTGGACTCAAAATGTTTTTCTTTTTCATAGTTATACATTACAGTGTCGAGATGATCAATTAGAGGGCTTTTCAACATTAAAACAACATTTTTTTGTGATAAATGTTAACTTTTGTATCGCTATAAAAAGAGGGAGTACAAGTTTTGGTTAATCCGAGAGTACCCACTAGACAGGACTCTCGGTAAAAAAGAATAGGTCCCCTTACAAAGTTTACAGTGAGTACACAAAACTAGGATTATAAAAGTTTACAAAGTTTACAGTGAGTACACAAAAATTGACCCCTTACAAAGTTTACAGAGAGTTTACAAAAGTGGGCTAAGAAAGTTGCCCGTACACAGTAAGTTGTTCTTGTAAGTTTATCCTCAATGGTCCAGAGCAGCAAGGGACCGGGTCTAGTCTTCGTCATGGGCGCTAGCCCCATCCTTCGCCAGGAGGTCGGCGAGCTTGTTTGACGTCCTCGAGGTGTGCATCCAGGAGACGGCCATATCCCTGCAGGTGTGAACAATCTCATCATAAATCGGTGCCAGATACCAAGGGGGTGTAGACCTCCCGGTTGCCCAAGTAATGATGTTTAAAGCATTACCCTCCACTAGTAGGTGTTGCCTCCAAGATCGATCGAAGCTTTGCAAGCCCTTGAGAAGGGCCATTGATTCGGCATACTAGGAATCTTGAAGGCCAAGATATTTGGAGTAGGTGAAGATGATATTACGTTGGTGATCTCTAAAGACACCACCTGCTCCTGTGTGGCTGGGGTTCCCCAAGGAGCACCCATCGAAGTTTAGCTTTATAGCTCCGTCAAGAGGTGGCTTTCAGATGGTTGATCTTTTCTCCTTCCTTGGTTGGTGGACAAGAATATTCTTCCATTGACTAAGGAAGGAGTTTGTAGGGATACCATTGAAGAGGTGTTGGTTTGACGCCCAGAAGGTTACCGAGGACATAACCTTGTGAAAGAGGGTTGGGACCAGGCTGATTTGTCCTTCGAAAACTCTGGCGTTTCTTTCTGTCCAGATTACCCAAATGGTTGTTGCCATCGCTGCCTTCCATAGGATTTTACCGGCCTTCGGCCATTGAGAGGCCAAATCGACAACTATTAGGTCTCTAACCGTCAGTGGTGTTACCCAGTGGACACCAAACAGTTGTAGTAAAAGGCTCCAGAGGTCGTGGGCAGGGTTACAATAGATGAAAAGGTGAGGATTGGATTCCTCCTCACACAAACACATGATGCATCTGTTGGGGATTGGGATCCCTTTCTTTTGTAAGTAGTCGATTGTAAGTACCTTTTGGGAACCCGCTATCCAAATGAAAGTTTGCACCTTGGGAGGTGCTATACTATTCCAAATTTGGGCAAGAACCGATGGGGGATTAAGTGGGAAATTGGGAAGTTGAATGAGTTTCTTGTAGAAGGAGGCCACAGAAGAGGCCCCTGATGGAGTGAGGGACTGTACCAGTTGTTCCCGTCCTTGTGTTGGGAGGAAAGAATGGTGCAATATTGCTGACAGGGAGATAAAGTGGTTTGTTTCCTCCTCAGAGAGGTTTCTTCTGAAAGAGGGGTTCCACTTTCTTCGACCTCCCTCCAGCACCGTTTCGTCCTCTATTGTGGCATCTCTGTTCGCTGCGATAGAGTAAAGGGATGAATAGAGGTCCCTCAGTGGTGCGTGTCCTAGCCAGAGGTCTGACCAGAAGCGCACTCTTGTTCCTTCTCTTGGGTGAAACCTGATGTGTTTTTTGAATAATGTGAGAGAGGAGGTGAAAGATTTCTATGCTCTTGACGCATTGGTCCAAGGTGTCCTCTTTAGCACCCAAGCGTTTTGAGGAATCTTGTATTTACTCTGTAGTACTTGAGCCCAGAGAGAGTCTGTTTGAGTGGCCAGACGCCACCACCATTTCCCTAGGAGGGCCAAGTTGAGTTTCCTTAAGAGCTTGATTCCCAACCCCCCCTGATTTTTGGGTAGGCAAACTTTATCCCAGGAAATTAAATAGACTTTGGTTTTCTCGGTCTAACCTGACCGGAGAAAGTTCCTCATGAGTTGATCGAGTCGATTAGCCATTGAAGTAGGTATTTGAAAAAGAGACATAAGGTACACAGGTGCATTGGCCAAGGTTGCTTTGATTAGAGTGGTTCTTCTTGCTTGAGAGAGGTATCTCCCTTTCCACCATGTCAAGCGTCTATCAACCTTGTCAATCACATGGGACCAATGTCTCTTTTTAGGTTTGCCCAGCCCGAGGGATAGACCCAGATAAGTTGTTGGGAAGTCCTCAACTTTACACTCCCAATTTGGAATGAGCTCTCTGATTTGGGCATTGGTAATAGCTATACCCATCATTTTTTATTTTTTCCATATTGCCCTTGAATCCTGTGGCCAATTGAAAACATTTCAGAAAGAGTCTCAAGTTATCCACTTCTTGGGGAGATAGATGCATCAAGGAATACCAAAGTGTCGTTTGCGTATTGCAGATGAGACACTATAGGCCCATGGTGGGAGGTTTTGAAATCTATGAGGAGACCAGCCTGGTAAACATGAGACAAGGACCGGCTAAAGACTTCAACTGATATGGCGAAGAGGAAAGGGGAGAGGGGGTCCCCTTGGCGTAATGCCCTCGAGGGGGGGAAGAATCCTCTTGGGGTGCCGTTGATGAGTATCAAAAAATGTGGATGAGAGTAACAACCTCTCATCCACATTCTCCAACGATCCCTGAAACCCATTCTTGCCATATTCTTATCCAGAACGGACCAATCGACGTGGTCATACGCTTTCTCCCAGTCGATCTTGAAGATGAGGCCGGCCTTTTTTTGCCAAATGCCTGGAGTGGATACACTCGTGGGCAATTAGCGCACCGTCCAGGATCTGCTTATCTTTAATGAAGGCCATCTGTGAAGATGAGATAGTACAAGGGAGGATTTGTTGTAGTCTTGATGCCAGCACCTTCGCCAAGATTTTATAGGAGGAGTTGAGCAAATGGGCAGGACGAAAGTCCTTAAGTTCCTTGGCCCCTTTTATCTTAGGGACCAAGGCTATGAAGGTAGCATTAATGGCTTTGTGGAGTATTCCCTGGTGGAAAAATTCAATGAAGAAACTCATGAAGTCAGGGCAGAAAGTTTCCTAGAAGATTTTGAAGGGGGCAATGGGAAACCGATCAGGGCCTCGAGCTTTCTTTTTTGCAGGTCGTCTAAATCTTTCACGACTTCCTCTTCTAAGAAGGGATGCTCCAACCATTGAGCTTGTTCTTCCGACAAGGTATGAAAGTCGAGGTCAGCCACGGTAGGTCTAGGGCCTCGCGGAGCAGCATAAAGGTTCTGGAAGAAAGAAAGAATAACTGACTCGATTTCTCCTGGCTGAACCAGATAACCATTTTTGGATTTGAAGAAATGCGTATTATGGTCCCCTGCTTTGAGCCAATTGACTCTAGATCTCTGGAACCAGTAGAGCTCCTCTTTTTTGAGGGTGGAAAAGTAATCGAGTTTGGTTTGGGTTCTTAGGTCTGCTTCAGAGGTTGTCAGAGGATGAGACTCCTCAAGGCGGTCAATTTCTTGGATGGACAAGAGAAGAGAGGACTTAACTTGGGAGTAGTTTCTTGGGATGCACTGACTCCAAGTTTTAAGGGAAGCTTTAAGGAGTTGAATTTTAGATTGGAGTTTGGAACCTGCTCTTCTTGCTACCTAGTTAGAGAATGAGTTCCACCAAGTGGGAATCAATGATGGAAGGGATTTTTCTTCTAATCAGGCCAGTTCAAATCTGAAGGGTTTAGGACCTCTATTCAGGGCTTGGGTGCACAGAAGCATGGGGCAATGATCAGAAGTGGGTTTAGGCTAGGCCATGGCGTGGGATCCTTGAAAACGTTCCCCCAATTCAGGGCTAGCAGGAACCTGTCGAGTTTTGAGAGAGTAGGTTGGGGAGAGTGGTTGGACCAAGTGAAATGCTTTCCATGAAGACGAATGTCTAGGAGATTGTTCTTGAAGATGAAGTCCGAGAATTCCGTCATTCCATGGGAGATGTGGGAGCTGGAGTTCGTCTCATGAGACCAACAGGTTATGTTGAAATCCCCATGCAAGCACTTGACTCGGTGAGGAAGGGAAGCTACAAAATCCAGTTCAGTCCAGAGACGAGATTGCAGGGATGAAGCGCAGGGACCATAAATGGGCAAGAATTTTCATTCTAAGCCATTTGAGATGCAAGAGAGGAGGATAGTAACCGAAAAATCCCCAATATGTGAGGATTGAAGGAGGTGTTTTGTGGGGTCCCAAATCACCCAGATTCCCCTTGAGGCCCCAACCGCAGGTAGGACAGCCCACTGGCAAGGCCTCCTACCCCATACTTGGTGAATGAGGTGGAGAGAGGGCTCGGGGTAGTTTGGTTTCAGTGAGGGCAAGGATAGTGGGACGGTGTTTCAAGGCCAGGTCCTTGACAGCTTCCCTTTTGGAAGGGTGTCCCAGGCCTCTAATGTTCCATGAGAGGATCTTCATGGAGGTAGAGAAGGAGGATAGACAGAGGCTAATCTAACAGACCGTCTCAAAGGTGGGGAGGAGGTAGAAATGGGGGAGTCTACAGTGGAGGGGCCACCATATGAGATAGATGAGAAAAGGTTAAGGAGCTCCCTTTTTCCCTTAAAGCTCACCTCTTGTCCACTCTGAGCATTTGTGAGGAAGAACCGGTGGGCGGGACTTTCAGGGCCATCATGCTGAAAGACCATAATGCGGAACAATTCCTTCATTCCATCCTGGTCATGGTCGTGCTCGTCCTCGTCGACCCCCTCATCATTGTCACTCGTTGAGGGGGGAGAGACGGGCATGCCAAGGTTGTCCTGCGAATCTGGGGCCCTCTCCGGAGGAAGGCGGGAGGAGAAAAGGAGGGGTCGAGGTCAGAGGGAAGCGAAAGAAACGACTTAGAGGGGGAGGAAGGGAGGGGATGAGAGGAGAGGTAGAGCAGGAGAGAGCCAGGGAAGGGTCAAGCTGCAACAACATGGGAGGAGAAAGAACAGGAGGATGGGGAGGTGTCAGGAAGGGCAAAGGAGGCGAGTCCAGATCCCCAGGGGGAGGGAGAGGGGGTGTAGAAACAACGAGAGGGGTGGGGAGAAGGGGGGGATAGGGGTAAGAAGGGTAGGGAAAGGTTAGGTATGTGAAGAAGTGGGAGTTAGAAACAGAGTGGTGGGACAGGCAGAGGGAATCGAAGAAAGGTGGGAGGAGTGAATCCTGCTAACCCGGATCAGAGTGGGGAGAGAGGACGAAAAGGGTGCCAACGAGGAGGGAATGAAAGCAGGAGCAGGGGGAAAGGGTCCGAGGCATGCGAGGCCTCAAAGCCGGAGAGAAAAGGGGGGCGGTCCATCGACGGGGAACGGGTAGAGGACAGGGCACGGTCGAGGGGAAAGGAGGAAAGGGGCACTGGAGCTACATGAGCGCAAAATGAAGAAGGAAGGTGGCGGGGGGGGGGGGAGGCAAGATAGAAAAGGAGGGAAGGGAAGGTGAAGAGGCCACCTCAGATGGAGGAGAGAGAATAGAAGGTGCAACAGGTGGCGAGAATGGGGAGGTAGGTGAGAGGGGGCAGGAGCTAGGGAAGCGTGCTGGCGGCTGAGGGCTGCATGTCTGAAGATGTGGCACTTGAGAGAAGAAAGGGGGCAGAGGGAGTTAAGGTTGCAATCATTTGAGGTACAACCTTAATTGTACATTTTAAGGTTGCAATCATATATAAACTTTTTTCTTTATATAAAAGCATGAGTAGGAGCTTGAGTTTGAAATATAATGGCAGTTTGTATTTTTCTTGTATACCACCCGTTTTAAGTTGTATATGTGGTGCAACTGGACATGTACAGTTCATTTTGATAAATATGTAAGTTAATTATCAGAAAAAATAGAGGAAGGGTGTCTCGTATTATCTATTAATTTGTATCCTGTCATGAATTCCCTCATAGCATGATTTTTCTGGCTGTTCAACTTGTGCAACTGCCAATTTTTTTTTTCCTTTTTCAGATTTAAATCATTTTGCCATCCAGTTTTACGTAAACTTTTCCATGAGAAGCTTGAACTTATAACTATAATTATATATTGAGCTTGTTATTGATAATTATGTGAAATGTAAAAAGGGGAGTCAGCTTTGCAGAAGCTTATGTGAATTCAAGTGAAAACAAAAGCAATTGTGTTGAATAAGGCATAAAAGTAAAGAATTTGGTCACCGTGTTATCTTTTTAAATGTCTACGTCCTTGTTTTGTTTACACTTTATATCATTTGATGTATTCAGTTCTGAAATTTGAGGAATTTGTTATTACAATTGATGGTCATTGGACTCATTTACATGCACAAAAAGAGCCTTCTGCTCAATGTATTTTTTCTCATTGTTTTAGGAACTTCAAAGCTGCTGTCTCTAAGTGGGTGCATATTTGTTGTGGTGTTAATATCAAGATTTCATGTTCATCTTGTTTAATTTAGTACACTCAACTACTCATCATATATGAAGCATCCTGGTTCTCTAATGTCCATTTCATGCTCAGCGTCGAACAGGAGGACTGGTTATATGGATGTCAGGAAGTGTCATGGTTGTTTATAGGGGAAGTACCTACGGGCAGCAGCCTTCTTCAAGGCCTAATACTTCTGAGGAAGAAGTCATAGCTACCAACCTGGTACATGAAGGGGATACATTATTTGTACCAGATGTTGCTCATTCCGAGAAAATTCCTGAGTCAGCCAGGAAAAACTCTATAATAACAGCTGAAAAACCATCCCTGTTTAGTGTTGACGAGGTTCCAACTTTGACAGAAGAAGAGAAAGAATACAACAGTATACTAGATGGTTTAGGTCCTCGCTTTGTGGAGTGGTGGGGTACTGGGTTTCTTCCTGTTGATGCTGATTTACTACCTCAGAAAGTTCCTGGTTATAAACCACCATTTAGACTTTTACCAATTGGAATGAGATCAAGGCTAACCAATGCAGAGATGACCAATCTGAGGAAGTTCGCAAGGAAACTCCCTTCTCATTTTGCTCTTGGTATTTTTCCTTTCAATTAAGCTTGTTCGCAATTCATATAAAGTCCCCTCTATCAAATAAAAATCAATATGAAGGCTTGGCTGGTTTAGGTTTTTGTTGATTTGTATTTCTTCCTTCTATTTGGTAACAATTTTTGCATCTAATTACCTTGGTTGCTCTTTGGTGAAGGGAGAAATAGGAATCATCAAGGTATGGCTGCTGCTATAATTAAGCTTTGGGAAAGAAGCTTGATAGTGAAGATAGCTGTGAAGAGAGGAATTCAAAATACAAACAACAAATTAATGGCTGAGGAACTGAAGGTGTGCATGCCTCTTTATTTTCATTAAAATTTAACTATCAGGATGTGGAGAATGTAGACCATAATCCAACTGGAAACACCATTGTTCATTTGGTCATCACTGTCCTTTCTTTTGATCGACTGTCATGGAGATAGAGTGGGAACTATCATTTATGTCATCCCCTGTTCTGGGGGGTTGCACTCTCTTTCTCTAGCATCATCATCATTTTAGTGGATGTTGATGATGAAATACATTATGGCGTTCCCATAGTAAATTGGCCCTCAGTCTAAAAAATCCCCATCAACTCGAAATTATTACAACTTACTCATGTTGATGACAAATCTTGATATTTTCTTATCATGCAGAAGCTAACGGGAGGTATCTTATTGCTCCGTAACAAATACTACATTGTCATATATCGGGGAAAAGATTTTCTTCCACCGAGTGTCGCTTCTGCCTTAGCAGAGAGACAAGCATTGACAAAAAATATCCAAGATGAAGAAGAGAGGGCAAGAAAAGGAGCCATTGGAGCAGCTGAGGCTGAATTAGAGAAACAGGAGGTACTTGCAGGTACCTTAGCTGAATTTAAGGAGGCTCAGGCAAGGTGGGGAAGAGAAATTGCCGCTGAAGAACAAGAGAAGATGAAAGAAGAGATTTCTAAGGCTAAGCATGCCGGATTGGTCCGGAGGATCGAGCATAAGTTTGCTGTGGTAAGTTGGTTTCTGTGTGTGCGTGTTTGTTCGTGAAGCTGGGTGTGCTCAAATTAGCTAATTCAAATTCCAAGTACCTTCTGTCTATTTTACTGTTGCATTTTTTGCTACCCTTTCTGGATGCCGGTAGTCAATATCCAAGGTCACATCACACCTACACACGCATTTAGTTTTATAGTTTTGCTCTCTACATTTAGAGATTAGTCTGGATTTTAAGTAATTGGCGAAAATGGCTGAAAATACGAATGTTGGATAGTTTTGCTTCTAGCAAAGTGATTGTCTATGTAGGTTATTAACTCGACTGGTTATCCAGGTTTGTCCTCATCGTCTTGATGCATCCTCAATTAATGGCAAATCAAATGTGATTAATCATCAATCTTTTGGTTTTTTAATCTGAAACAAATGGAGTTTCTGAACTTATTCTAATTGATGGATGATCCCTTTGGACAGCATTTCGGTGTTTGAGTTAAAATATGCATCAGCAACAAAGGAAAAAATAAGAAAGAAGATGTGAAAGAAGTTCTAGAGACAGAGGAAGGGGTTCTGATAGAGAGAGAGTCTCATTTAGAGAAGAAAGAGAGAGAGGCGGTTAGGGTGGGTCATACTATCCACACACCCCTCTTATTTATTGTATATATTGTTGAATTTTTACTAATGTAGAACGATGCACGTAAGTAAGAGAAAAAACATGTAAGTCTTTTGGAGCTTATATATTATTCACAACAATTCTCTCTCTCAAGCTCGTGTAAAACTATTAATCTTTTTGAGTTTTCCATATGGCCTTAGTTGGAAGTTTCCTAGTTGTCTTTTGTTTGCACATATGGAAGGCATTTATCTCTGGTAGCAACTCTTTCCCGAGTGAAATGTCGGTCGACCTCTATGTGCTTGGTTCTATAATGCTAGATCAGCTTGCGAGCTATACTAATGTCTGCGTTGCTATCACAATACAAGGATAACTTGATAAGAATAGCAAGCTCTTGTAATAAATTTTTTAGCCAAAGTAATTTACATGCAATATGGGCCATGGATCGGCACTCCTCTTCTGCACTTGACCGGGCAACAACTGAATGTTTTTAACACCTTCAACTCCCAAGGGTACCCCTAACTAGAGTAGAATAGCTTGATGTAGATTTCCGGTTCATGATAGAACAAGTCGATCTTTCTTTTTATCATCATGAGATTGCCCTCCATTGTCCTTCTGAGCTCTAGAATTAGGGAAAAGAAAGTAGAAAGAGGAATGGAAGACCTCTCTTCCACACTTACTTCCCCTAAGAGAGGTAGGAAAGAAAAAAGTGGACTTAAAAAAAAAGTTAAATCCATCGAGAAAAATTTCTTTCTTTCTTGGGATTGGATCATAACATTTTTATGCCTTTTATGAAGACATACAACCAAGAGAAATACATTGTACAGATTTGAGATCCAACTTTGTGAACATGAGCGAAGCAAACACAGTCGAAGACTTTAGGGGGAATAATCTATAGTGTGAATTATATGGATGAAGAAGTTTTCAGGGATGTTTGTATTCTAAAACATGTGACGTCATTTGGTTGGTAAGATGTAGAGAGCACAATTTCAAACCAGAATTTCTTAGGTATATCATACTCAAAGAGAAGAGCATGACCAACCTCTAAGAGATGTTTATTCTTTCTTTCAACCACAACATTTGTGGTGTGTATGAGCAAGAGTTTGACGGTCTATTCAATATTCGTCTAAATAGGATAACAACTCTGTTGCAATACTCTCCTCCTTGATCGGATTTGAGTACCTTATTTTAGTATAAAACTGAGCGTGGATCATCTTATGAAAGACCTTGATGATATTAGGAATTTTATCTTTGGTCTTCATAAGGTAGAACCAGGTAGACTGAGAGCAATGATCCACAAAAGCAACAAAATATCGATTGCCAAAAGTTGATGTAATAGGAGGGGGACACAAACATCAAAATAGTCTATACTCTATAGCAAAAGTAGCAATGCTTTTAGTATTATAGGTAAAAAGGAATTTCTACAATGTTTTGACAGTTCTTGGTACTCATAGTGAAACTCTAACACAGTCGAAATAAACAACTTAGGAAACATAATTTTTAATGATTGAAAAGAATAATGATGAAGTCGGCGGTGCCATTGCCAAATCTGATCTTTATTAACACTGGTGCTGGATTGAAGGGCTTGAGGAGCAGTTGTATCCGAGTCTGGAATGTGGAGACCACTGCTTAATGACTACTGCCAATTGTTGACCTTGTACATAGGTCTTGAAAAACATAGTGGGAAGGAGAGAAGGTAACAATTCAATCTAGACTCTCCATAATGCTACTAGCAGACATTAAGTTTGTTGCAAGGCTGGAAACATGAAGAATTGATAATAATGACATTTGAAGAGAAATATTTGTAGTTCCTTTTCTAGCGATAGAAGAAAAGGATCCATCAACAATCCTAACTGTCTCTCTACTAGAGAAAAGGGAATATAAGAAACAAGGAAGACATACCGGTCATGTTATTTGAGGTTCTTGAATCAATAATCCAAGATTGTTGAAATGGTTGACCGGTCATGTTCTTTGAGGGTCCTGAATCAATAATCCAAGATTGTCCAAATGGATGAAGAAAGACATGATGAGTAGAAGCCTGAATACCTGAGTGTGCAAAAGATGAAATAAAAGTAGTGGATGGGCCATCTAACTGGTCAACATCCGATGAAGGCTGTCAGTCTCCTTGTTGAGAACTGATATCATCTCCTTTAGAGCAAAAATTGGAGGCTGGGTTGCATTAGGTAATGGCTGATCCACAATTACCTTAATTTCTCAACCTTGGTGGAGATTCCGCTTCAGAATCCCGATTTGTGGATTCCTTTAAGGAATCTTCATGGAACCCATTTCCATGAAGTTACGAATGTCAATTCCATATTTATTGAATCATGATTCAATTTTTTTGGAATCCATATTCTACAATACCAAATACCGCATTCATAGGTGCACGAAACCACTATTTGATAAGTCTGAAATCTCGCTTCCACATTGATAGAATGGCGATCCCCCTTTTTTTTGTTGGAATCCAGATTGCACAACGTCAAATACTGTAGGTTACTAGTTCTCGAACTTGGCGTCTACTTGTTAAAGATAAGTGGGAGAAAGATTTGGAATTCGATTCAGAATACAACATAGAGCATCATAAAGACACAAACAAAGTGTCATTTTCAAATATACATGTCAAATCAAAATCTCATTTTCAAGTATACACGAGATAATATTTGTATGTTATTGTAAACACAATCATGAATTCCCTAGTGGACTAGTGCAACATTCTCTTATTTCAAATTTATTATTGTTTAATATACGATCAACGTTTAACAACTCTGTGTCTGCTAACTATACTTAACATCATTCCTAATTTTTGAGAACCCAAAGTAAATATCTTGTATTTAAATTTCATTATTAACAAATCAGGTATTTTTGCTTTCTTAATTCAATCCATAGCCTTAGTAAACCTCAAATCTAGTTTTGAGGTCACTTGACCTTGATTCTAATGCCTATAGCGAACCGTAACTAAGGCCACTCAATACACTGTTTCACTACTTGGGGAACCCTTGTCATGGTCTTTAGCACCGTTGAGGATCTCGTTTCCAATACTAGGAAACCATGGCTAGGCTTACTGAATACGTCAATTTCAATACTAATGTATTCTAGCTTAAGTTTACTCTAGAACCTCGAACCTTTTGGCCAATGAAACTCGTTTCTTGTTGATTTTTGTTGCGTTTCTAAATTGTTGGGTGTGGGTCTCATAAAGAGGAGAATCTCTATTCCAATTGGGTTGGAACTATAGTTGTTGGAAACAACTGTGATTCCGAATCGTTTCGGGAATCAGAATCGGGTGTAATAGATGTTTCCTAAACTTGGAATCGTTGTCTGCACGATTCAGAACTATGAATCGTGATTCACACTATATTGGAATCGTGATCCAATAAAATAGGAATTGTGATCCAATAAAATAGGAATCGTGATCCAATAAAATAGGATTCGTGTCTCCTATTTGTAAGAATCAATGTCCCTTCATGTTGGAATCGAGTTTCATACCTATATGGAATCGCAATTGACCCCACATTGTGTTGTGGATTCTGGAATCGCGATCTGATGAGATTGGAATAGTGATTCTTAAAAATATAAAATCGTAATCCTTAAAATTCTGGAATAGTTGTCCCTATCAACTTGGAATCGAGATTCTCACCATTCAGGAATCGAGATTCGCCTCATACTGGAATTACGCAACAATCTCCTCCTGTATATGAGAGAAATATTCAGAAAATATTTAAATTTGATCAACTATTACAAGATTGAATTTTGTTATGTATATATTTAGTCCAATTACCAATATCAACCTTTATGACATCTTTGTCAACAATGCCATACAATGGACTCGGTCTACTCGCCTACAAGGCTTGGAGCTGGTCTAAGGTATACAACTAGTGAGAACAAATGCGAACTCCCTCTATCTCCTTTCCTTGAATTATAAAATAAGTAGATGACATAAAAATTATTCTTTGTTAGATGTAGTTTTGACTTTTGAAAATTGAGTTATTCAATTTTAAGTCAATTTCTGATATTTAATGATTAATTTAACCCAAAACACCATAGGGCACTTCACTCATATTCTTATCCTCTTATTCTACTTGAAGAAAAGCAGTGATGGCATATCTTGGTACTCATCATATATTAAACAATATTACATTAGTACCCACATCATTTACCAAAAATTATTAAATTTGAAGTAACAAATTTTTTTAGTAATATTTATACTTGGTAAGAGTTGTTAAAAAGTAATAAGGAATTTGAATACAAGGATAGAAATTAGAAAACATGAAAATAAAAAATTTCACATATTTCCATATTTAAAACTTCGATTTTAATGCCGTGTTTGCAACGACTTTAGATTCGCAATTCCTAGAAATCTAGAATCAACGTTGCATAAGTAGAATTGCATTGTTGTGTAGCTAAGAATCACGATGTCTGCGATGTAGAATCTTGATTCCATACAACATAAATTCACAATTCCTAAAAATTTGGAATCAACGTTTTACACAAGCAGATTCACATTGTTGTGTAGCTAAGAATCACAAAGTCTGTGATATGGAATCTTGATTCTAGGCTTCTAGGAACTGAGATTCATAAACTAAATTGAATTCCTTTATTTCAAAATCGAGTTTCGTCATGGGAAACGCAGAATTGAGTTTCCGAAACGGAATCTCTACCCTAGTGGGCGATTCGGGTAACTATAGTTGGAACAAGGTTCCAGAAAGTTATGAGTCTCGATTCCAAATGGATTGGTGTGCAATTCCAAAGATGTAGGTGTTCTTGATTCCACTTGGGTTTGAATATAATTCCTATACAGTAAGAGCTCGATTCTTGGAGTTCTCATTGTATGGACAATGCTTTCAACAATAGGAATCTTCTAGCAGCTAGCAATTCTGAGCGTCAGATTCCTATAGCTATTATGAATCTCAGGCATTTCCAACAACTATGGGCTAGGTAGTACCAAAAACTCTTTAACCCCTAGATGAAGCATTGTGAAGCATTAAATGACCTGGATGGTTGAATTTAGTTGGCCGACAATCTAGATCCCAACACGTTTCTTTAATATGAGAAGTTCTACTACAATGATCACATTTCACCTTACTTTTATTTCCTTGATTAGGATCCCCTTTTTCAAATTTTCAAGGTCCAACCCCTTTATTGTTCTTAGGAGGTAATGAGGCTGAACAAGGGTAGAACAATCAATTACTTGATCAGGCAACATGACACTTTCTCTATGCTCCTCACTTTGGACAAAGGAATACACTTGGTTGAGTGATGGAAGAGCATCCCTACTAAGTGTTTGAACCCTAGCTAACTCAAACTCAGTGTTCAATCTCGCCAAGAACTTGAAAGTACAATTTTGTTCCCATATTTTTCCTCATCTTCTTACAAGCGGGTTTAAACATCTGATTGAGGTCCAACTCCTCCCTCATGCTACAATTCAAGGAGAAATGTGCTAGACCTTTCCCCTTATCGAAGAAGGGAATTTCCTGTCTTGGTACACTTGAGCCACTTTTTTGGCTTTGATGGTAAGTTTGGTAATACTGCGTATTCCCAAATCCCTCTTGCAATCCAAAGGAACAAGAAATCCCTACTAATCACTTGTCTTGGTACACTTGAGCCACTTTTTTTGCTTTGATAGTAAGTTTGGTAATACTGAGTATTCCCAAATCTCTCTTGCAATCCAAAGGAACAAGAAATCCCTACTAATCGACGGTTGCATAGAGTGTAACAACCAAGATATTAAAGTTAGATTTTCAGTTTCCCACCTATCATGTGAAGGATCTGTTTCTTCGGGTCCAATAATCTTACCGTAATGATTACCTAATTTTCCCCTTCTGCAAATGGAGATTTTAGCATGATGTGACCACTCTAAATAATTTGTCCCATCGGGTTTGAAAATCATAATACACAGTCCAGGGTTATCTCCATTGATACCCATATAAGGGTACTCTTGGAGTACTATAGATGGTAGAGAGTGGTCTGAATCACTAATACTGTAGATGTCTACCACAACACAGCTCGTACACACCAAGAAAACACGTTGATCAACATAAACAGCCACTCACATTCACTTCTCATTGGGATTCAAGACCATCCATAGAAGAGACTGTATACAATTGAAAATACATAATTAGTAAATCACTTCAAGACCATCCATACATAATTCTAGAGAGATAAATTAAATAAGATACCTCTAGAGAAATAAAGCATTCATAAAAATACAATTGAAAATACATAATTAGTTCAATAAATTAATTTTTAGAAAATGTGAAAAATAAGAAATAGGTAGGCAAGACCCCTTATCTTTACAGGTGCAAGTGGCATTGGAGATTATAAAAATACAATTTTTTTTTTCATTAGATCTATTTTATTGCATTTTAAACTTCATTTTGACCTCAAAATCAATGTAATGTTCAAACAAATACTTAGACATAGACCGGTTCTCAGTATTTATGTATTTCTAATAAAATATTGAAAATCAATAATGCAATACCCCTATTTTTTTTGGAAAAACATAATTTACCGATCAGATTGCCGATCAGATTTACCGATCAGATTGCCGATCCACTAATCCGGACTGATGTTAAGGATAGGCAATCTAGGTCACTGATCCATTTCTTTAAACATTGATATTGACACAATGGTGTTTGATCTCTTGCTTTGAACTTGATGTTTGATGTTGAATGCTTTAAGAGACATTGTTGCGGGTTTATTGTGCCTTTCTAAGTTAGATTCATATCTGTTAGAAAATGTTTCTCTTTTAACTTGATAGAGCTGTGAGGACAACTAAAAAAACTTCGTGTAATTTCTTGAACAGGCCCAAGCGAAAAAGCTAAGGGCAGAGAAGCAATTATCGAAGATAGAAGCATCAATGGTGCCAGTTGGACCTTCAGATGACCAAGAAACAGTAACAGATGAGGAGCGGTATATGTTTCGTCGCGTTGGTTTGAGAATGAAGGCATATTTACCACTAGGTACTCCTTTACCTTAAAATCTTGTGCTTTGTCTAATTTTGCTAGTACAAGGCTTGCCTGAACTTAAAAAACAATTTTCTTTAAAAAAAAGGTTGATAGGAATTTGAAGAAAGATTCCATAGGAAAATCTTGTCGCTTTTACTGATTGGAAATTTTCAGGCATTCGAGGTGTTTTTGATGGTGTGATTGAGAATATGCATTTGCACTGGAAGCACCGAGAGCTAGTGAAGCTAATTTCTAAGCAAAAGACCCTTGCATTTGTCGAAGAAACAGCAAGGTTACTGGAATATGAGAGTGGTGGTATTTTAATAGCTATAGAAAGAGTCCCAAAAGGCTATGCCCTCATATATTATCGTGGGAAGAATTATCAAAGGCCTGTTACTATAAGGCCAAGAAACCTTCTAACAAAGGCGAAAGCATTAAAACGTTCAGTTGAAATGCAACGGCATGAGGTTTGGCTTTATCCCTTGTCATTGTTTACTAGAGATATTATCACATCTATTGAATTATTTTCTTTGACTATTTTGTTTATGTAGTGCTTCTTGGTTTCATTGATATGCTTTATATTATAAATACATGACAACAGGCACTTAGTCAACACATTCTAGAGCTGGAGAGAACCATAGAGCATATGAAGTTAGAACTTGTAAGTGGCAGCTTTCCCTGGTTCTGTGAAAGTCATAACTTGCTATCCTATTGGCAATTCAAAGGGCAACCTTATTGAATTTTATGCTTAGTTTACTGTTTACAATGATGCATATTTTTTCTCTGTTCTTTTGATAAATTGCTTGGATCTTTTAGGTATCTTTCTAGTAATGGGACGAATGCTGCTTATTGACTTTGACGTGTGGTCCTCTAAGCAGCTGAGATAGTCGTTAGCAGATCTCTCATTTTCCAGTTGCTTTTTTGTTTTTCGCAGCATAATCCTGAAATTAATGAGGGAAGTAGCTGGGAATCAGAGGAGAATGAGGTTCGTCTTAGCAGTTCTAAAAAATAGACACACGTGCACACACACACACACTCAGTCTTCTCGATTGAATTTAGTTATTACCCTTCGAAAAGTTATAACCCTTCGAAAACTTAAGTTCTTGCTCAGTATTACTTAATCAAAGTCAATTTTTCCTTCCTTCCCCACTGAAGACCTCTCCCTTTTATATGCATTGTCCTTTCTCATTCTAGTCTATGCATCATACAAGTTCAGTACTAATATTTGTATGTTTCTCTTTGTTTGTGTGTGTGTTTTTCTTTTTTTGTTTCTTTTTTCAGGGCGGGGGGTTGGGGGAGATTTTTTTCTTTTTCTCATTTTTTTGGGAGGGAGGAGTGGGATGGAGGGAAGAGAGAGAGAGATGGTTGCTATTTGTTCATCATATACTGATGTTCTTTTCTCTTTCTATTTGTATTTGAAGGGGAATAATGAATATGATGATGAGGATGGAAGCCGTTGGGAGTCCGATGGGGAGATTGAGGTTGCTCATATTTCATATCCAACATGAATCTATTATTGAGGAAAAATAAATAGATATCTATGTATATATGTAGGGAGGGAGGGAAGATGCTATTTGTTAGAATTCTTCTCATTTTCCCATCTGTTGCTATTTGTATTTGCAGGGGCACTCTCAACATGTTAATGAGGGTGGTGATAGTTGGGATTCTGAGGGGGAGCTTCAGGTTAGTTCCACATCACACTTAACAGAAATCTCTCTCTCTATCTCTCGTCCTATATATATATATATATATATATATATATAAATATATATACCTCTGTGTGTGCATGTGCACACGTTCGCGCTCGCATGTTTGCCCATTCCACACGAGAAGTAGAGAGGGTGGGGGGGAAGGTAAGGGGAGGAAGAGTGTCTGTGGGGTGATAGATAGGTTTATGGATGGATGGAGATAGAAGGATGGATATAAGGACTTGTTACAATGCTCATTTACATGGTGAAACTTCGTAACTCTCCTGAACATTTTTGACAATTGATTTTCCTTGTTCTAGCAGCTCAAAAAAAAAAACTTTTTTCCCTCTAGTCAAATTTATTGTGAGGGAGAGCTAGTTTTAGTCATGTATCAGTTTTCATGGACAAAATTTCACTATAAAGTAGGGGACGTTCAAGTGACATAAACTATGAGAAAACCCCCAATGCTTCATCGTGGTTGAATGTCAACACTTGTATTAATGTGAAATTTTTGTCATTGCCCCTGATAAATTATTGCTACACCTTCTAAAAGATGATTTGTGATAAAGGAGGGCACTGGGATTTAACATCCATAATTGTAGCATTTGGTTGCTAAGCATTTCTTAGTTTGTGCATACTGGCAAGCACAGTGCAAATATTGCAGAAGGGAGTCCTTCAACAATTGATTGAATCTTATTGTGTCATGGGTTACAATCTCCATATCTTGTGCATCCTAGGAAAAACTATTGTAAGAGAAAACAACATATCCTTTACCAATCATTTGACTTTTCATTTTGCAGAAAGAAGGTGAAGACTCTGATTTGGATTCTGATGACGCCTAGGATGAGAACTTGGATTGTTGGGATTATAGATGGCCCATGTTCTTTAGATAGAGAACCAACACAAGGCATGAGAGAGCATGAGAAGTAACAAACAAATTAAAGGCCGAAGAGACAGGTGATGGAGGCTAAACATTGGCATGTTTCAAACAAGAAAACCTGTTAACAATTTTGAGGTACTTTTTCCTTTGCAATTCTATGGATAAATGCGGTATTTCCAAAACAAACCTTATTCTTGGATAACAGCTTTGAACCGAAGCAGCAAGATTTAAGTTCACTGCAAAAAGTACGATTGGTTCTGAAAAAGTGCTGTCTGCAATTTAGAACATTATGAAACTGCCCTGAAACTTTTATGAAAATCATAAATCGTCTTCTGTTGCCCAATTTTTGAAAAATAGAAGATCCTCTCCTTGAATGGGTTCTTCTTTCATTGCTATGATAATATTAATGTACAGTAACATAACCTTGTACCATGTCCATTTTATTGCCCGAAGAAGAATCTTCAGCCTTAAGGATGGTTTTGTTCAGTAATTATCTGATCGGTTCACAGGCAAGGATTATGTATGTACATCCATTTGTTGCTTTGAGCTTCATGGTTGAAAGACAACGTGAATGTAAGGTATTAGATGCCTTTTTCCTTGAATTATGATTTTTTTCCAGATTATTGATGTATTGTTTAAACACATTTTAATGAGGTTGGACATGAAAATAAATAAAAGATCCTATTATGGGCCAGTTTTTGGTGGTTTTTCTCCTTCTTGACTAGCAAAGCATCTTTGGCAGATCCAAGATGACACTAAGTGCTTTCCAATGCACGTTGAATCTTCTAATTTGACACCTTGTTGTAGAGATATAGCCCCCAAAGATCATATCTATTGAAGTGGCAAAACAAGACTCGTTTTGTGAGTACTAATTAGATTCTGCTGAACGCATCACTGACTTTTAGAAGCTGTAACTGAATGTGATCTGTCTTTCTCTAATAGAGACAATATCTCTAGATCCTCATTTCTTGAGGCATATTTGTATCTTTCTTTCCTTACCCCTATGATCTTTGTCTTAAACCGATGTCAAGCTATAATCGGGGTATTTTATTTTTATTAGTTTCCTGAAGTAAGAAATAAATATTTCTAAAGTTTGCCAGGGAGGCTTCAAGAAAGGCTAAATTTCTGACCTATAACTCTTTTCACATATTCTTTATCCGAACCATCTGTAGATTGTATTTTTATATTTCCAGTTCGTGCTTAGATTTGTTTGGTGTTTCTATTTTCTGGTTTTTGGGTCGAGTTTTGTTTTTGTCGTCTTCCTTCTGGGAGACTGATCTCCATCAAAAAGGTTTGAACTCCAGAGTTGAGTGATTCAGTCTTGAAAATGGAATTACGGGGGTTCCTAAAGCATGGTACATTCGCTGCCACGGTTGCTGACCGTGTAGCTTGGGCTCTCATTCTTGTACCCCTTGACTACTCATTTTGATAAGAGTCTCACTAAACCTAAGGCCATAATATGTTAATATGATTTGCATGTTCGAAGGAAACGTCTATTTTTTTTTGTTTTTTGTTTTTTTTGGTTTTTGGGAAATTATCATTAATATACCTATATTTTACTATAATCGGAAAAAAAACCCCCTAATTTTCAAAATTTCACCTACACTCTTTTTCACAATTTTCGGCTTGTTTTGGATCAAAATAACCTTCACGATAGTTTTTTTACCGTAAAGAATATTACGGTAAATTGAATACCGTAATAAGTTGAAGGAGTAATATGGTAATTAAAATACCGTAATATTTTAAAGTAGAATTACGGTAATTTAAATACCGTAATAAGTTAAAGAGTATTATGATAATTAAAATATCTTAATACCTTAAAATAGTATTATGGTAATTTAATTACCATAATATTTCCTACGCTTCATTAAAAGAACACAAGATTTTTTACTCTTTTTGGAGTTTACTATTTATTTACTTCCTGGACAAAAATCTATGTTAGCTGTATTTTTCAAATATCAAAATTTTAGGATATAATCTCTACTACTTATAGAATAATTTTAGCAAATCAATTTTCGAAGTAAATTCTTTTGTATATTAGAAAAACCTAACACTTCAAGATTGAATAGAAACTATCCAATTTTCAAAGAGCTAGATTTAAGTGACTCAATTCAATTCTTTCAAAAATAATTTAGTAATTTTTATATGGTTTTCAAAATTTTAGAACAAAAACATTCATAAGTAGGTGTTTTTGAGTGAGGGAGTAGATCAACATCGTGGTTCCAGAACATGGGTTTTTTGAAAAATAGAGCTTTGAAGAAGACTACCCTGTAGGGAGGAGAAGGGTAGCTCTGATATTAGCTTCGGTTTGAAGCTTTTCAACCAATAGGGGTTTGGAATTGATCGGAAAAGTATTACGATAATAAGAATACTGCAAAACTTCCCCACACATTACGGTACGTAAATTATCGTAATAATAATTCAAACTATTATCGTAATACTCTTTAAATTTGTTACGGTGTTTTAATTACCGTAAAGCTTAAAATGTATTACGGTAAAAAGACTATCTTGAAGGTCATTTTGGTTTAAAAAAAGCCGAAATTGGTGAGAAAAAGTGTAGGCAAGGTTTTGAAAAGTTAGGTTTTTTTTTTATTTATTATTTATTACTAAAATAAAGGTATATTAGCGTTAATTTTTTTTTTTTGCCCAGTATGTGGATTGTGCTAGCAACTGTCTTCTATGAATTTAGCATAATTGAAAATGGTTTGATAAAAAATTAAATCCAATAGTTTATAATAGGAAAACGTTTATATAAGGTTTTAATCTTAAAATGTAGAATTAAAGATGCACCTCAAAAATCCATAGGAAAATGTTATTTTAATATTGAAAAACCCTCTAATTGATCATCTGGACATATATATATATATGTATATTTTGATTACTGGAAATAGTGCATCTTGCAACACATTATCTAGAGGGTGTGGTTTGCATATTAAACAATCCAATTAAGGCGCAACTCTAAATTTTATCATAAATGTAATACTGATATAAAAAATTATGGCTTGAAAAATCAATTTTCATCTCTAATTATAAAATTTTAAGCTTTAAAAGTAGTTCAAATCATGTAGATTTATAAACACATAAAAAACTTGAAGAGGGACGGTCCATATAATGTGTTGCAAGATACACTATTTCATGGACTCGAAATATTTTTTTTTTTTCATATTCAGACATCTCGATGTTGAGATGATCAATTAGAGGGTTTTTCAACATCCAAACAACCTTTTATTGTGAATATTTTAGGTGCATCTTTAATTCTACATTTTAAGGTTGCAACCTTATATAAACTTTTTTCTTATCTTGATTGTCCATTTTCAAGATTTTCATGTGTTTATAAATATGATTTTAACCATTTTTGAAGTTTAAAATTTTATAATTAGATATGAAAATAGATTTTCAGATAATCTTAAGAGTTTTTTACACCAAAATGATAAAATTTGGCGGTGTGCCACTATTGGATTGTTTAAGGTTGCAACCTTATAGAAACCACACCCTTTATAATATGGTTAGGTTAAATTATAAATTTGAGAAGTGTTCTTTTTACTCAGAGGGAAATTATCAATGTTAGTAATTATGAAGCAAAAATTTGGGTACCACTTTTTGAGGAAATTTTTTAAAATTTTAAGAGCGTAAATTTGACAGTTTTAGTTAGTATAAAAGATATTTACAATTTGATCCGTTAATTTGAAAATAACAGTAAAGGCCTACTCATAATTTTTCACTTGAATTGTAGTTGTGAACTTCAACAAGATATACATTTTAGTTATAGTTCTAATGTGTATTTACAATATGGTTAATTAAAAACAGTTTTTAGCTACTTTTGTATGCGGTTAATTAGAGCTTGAAAGGAGCATTTTAAGTATAATAAAAAATTACATTTTAATTAAGGGAAAAGTTTATCTCTAAACAATCAAAGTTGAGCCTACCTAAAAAATTTCACTAGAAGAGGTTGTTTTGATGCCCAAATATCTTCAAATTGATCATCTCGACATCAAGATGCATGAACATGAGAAAATAATGGATTTCAAGATTTGAAAATAGTGTATTTTGTAACGCATTTTTGAACCGTCAATTTTCAAGATTTTTCATAGATCGGTAGATCTGCACTATTTTTTAAGCTTTAAATTTTATAAATAAATATGAAAATATATTTTAAGGCTATCACAATGATTTCCAGTATTGAAATCACATTTCTCGACACTATTTGAAGGTAGGCTCTAACTTGATTGTTTAGAGCCTAGGGTGCAGTTTATATAGAGCCGAGGCTCTAAACAATCAAATTAGAGCCTACCTTCAAATAATGTTGAGAAATATAATTTCAATATTGAAAATTTTGTGATAGCTTTAAATTATATTTTCATCTTGAGTAATGATCCTATGAGACCCTCCCACACCCATATGTGTAGGACCCCAAATGATCACCATTAAATTTGGCATAGATCTCTTGAAAAGTCAAGTCCTACACCCATGTGATAACTTTTCTAGAGATCTGTGCCAAATTTAATGGTGGTCCTTTGGGGTCCCACACACATGGGTGTGGGAGAGTCTCATAGGATCATTACTCTTTCATCTTTAGCTATAATTTTTTTTTTTTTGACAAATGTTATCACTTATTATTGATGATTAAAAATCAGTTACATTACTCACTCATTACATCATTCAAAATAGAAAAGGACTCCACACCTCTTTTAGCCAAACCATCCGCAAGACTATTCGATTATCTATAGACGTAATGGAATGATAAAGATAACTCTCCTTCGAGTTTCACGACGTAATGCAACAGCTAAGGAACTCATTGATCTTTGTTGCACCACCTAATCACATTTTGCGAGTCACCTTAGACTACAATATCATGACCCAAATTCATGGCTTTAATAATGAGTAGTCCTTTGAGTAAGACACTAAACTCTGCCATGTTGGCTGTGGCAATTCCAATAGGTCTAGCATAGGCAAGAACAATAAATCCATTCCAATCACGTACCATACCACCTATCCTTGCACTTCTCGAGTTACCGAGGGAGCCACCATTAAAGTTTAACTTTAACCAGCCTTGTAGTGGAGGTATCCAACGACCAACTGGTCTACTCTTTACCCTCTTAAAGACCATCAGATAGGCTAAATTAATTCGCACATCAATCTCACTAATACCTCTCCCTACATCCAACACCAAATCGTATGAAAAATATGCTAAATCAGACAATCACAGGATAAACCAACTCCTTCAAGAGTACGCCTATTCCGTTCTTTCCATACCTCCCTGCATACAGCTCCTTTCACTATTTGTTAGATCCATGCCCCCAATTTTGGTAAACTCAGAAAAGCCAGTTGAGAAATGATGCCCAAAACACTTTGAGGAAGAGTCGTAATTAAACCTAAAATCCCAAAGAAATGATTCCAAATGTATGTTGCACATCAACAATGGATTAGCGAATGTGAGATTGACTCCCCATCCTCCCTATACATAAGGCAGATATTTGGCAACATTTTTTCTCTTTTAATGAGATTATCCACAGTCAAAACTTTATTCTACCCTGCCAACCAAATAAAGCATTGAACTTTGTGGGGAATAGGCCACTTCCATATTTGTGAAATTTGAAGCAACGACCATCTATGGCGATCGTGAAATAAGAGATAATACATTCATTTAGCCGAAAAGAGGCCATCTTTACTATGTTCCCAAATCACTTCATCTTCAATAGAATCGCACAG